CACTCCTTTTCAATGGCAGTGAATATGCTTCGCTGTGCAAAAGTTTACGGCTTAGATAAAAATCAATGCCGTGTACACGTCCACTGATAGGAGACGCGGAAGGTATTAAACTGATCAGAACAATACTAAACACACCACTCCTTTTTTGGTGAGGCTTTACAGGACAGAGTGCTTCTCCACGGGACATGTTAACTCACGGGCAGCTGGCTCATCAAGGAACCACAGCAGCTTTCCATGTACAGGTAAGACACGTGCAGCCGGTATGGGTTCAGGCTCTTCTTCCTGGAGGATACGCTGCAAGCCTGTTGAACGAGGTGACCTTGCTCGGGTCCCAGGTGTACGGTTCCTAAAATGGCTGCCATATACACGTCCACTGATAGGAGACGCGGAAGGTATTAAACTGATCAGAACAATACTAAACACACACAAATAAGGTTTCTCTCCTGTATGGCTCCTCAAATGATGCTTAAGATTAGAAGCGGCTGAAAAGCATTTCTCACACTCCGAACAAAAATATATTTTTTAACATTCTCTCCACTTTGAACGAAATGACGTTTGGGAAGAGATTAACATAATTAAACACAAGCAGTAAAAATACAGTTTTTAGCCATACCCTGTAACTTTAAAACTACACATCCCATCTTCATAATTACATATTTGGAATCAGCACACTTAAAACATAAACATAACCAAAAATCAGCCAAATCCATCCAGGGGTTAAAGGTTAGTTGAGGTCCTGCGACCCACATATTATTTTCCTGCCCAAAACAGTTCCATAGATTTGGGTTGTGAGGCTCTGGGTTCATTTCAGGTTGAGAAAATCCATCAAGTCCCAACGCTCATCGGGACTTAGTCTCTGCAGCTGAAATAAGGCTGAAAAAATGTTGAAAATCCACTAAGTCCCATCGCTGAATGGGGTTCTTAGTCTCTGCAGCTGAAATAATTTCCCATTTACTGAACCAAGTGGGAAATAGCCAGGCAAGTGGCCACAAAGGGTTTGCACCAGGTCTGGGGACACAGGGGACACCGTCTTAAAGGGGCAGTGTCCCCAACAAGTCTGGGGACACGACCTTAAAGGGGCAATGTCCCAATCTTCCTGATGTCCCAAAAAAGGTGTTTAAAGGGCCAGCACCAGTCACATAAAGAGTCCATAAGCCCCAATATGCCCACCGACAGTCTTAAAGGGCCATACACATTAAATAAAAGTGCATACATTTTCACAATCTCCCAGGGGCCATAGTCATGCGGGAGGAGGCTGGCAAATAGGCTTCTCCACAACCCAGGGAAGCAGGGCAATTTGCCATTTAATTGGCCCGTTACAAATAGCAGTTTGTAACAAGGTGTCAATCCATATCTGCCAAGTGACCCGATGTAGGGGGACCAGTCCCTATTCTGCTCTGTGTCAGTGTGTACCAGGGAACCTTAGGACAGGTGTCAATCCATATCTGCCAAGTGACCCGATGTAGGGGGAACAGTCCCTATTCTGCTCTATGTCAGTGTGTATCAGGGATCCTTAGGACAGGTGTCAATCCATATCTGCCAAGTGACCCTATGTAGGGGACCAGTCTCTATTCTGCTCTGTGTCCGTGTGCATCAGGGGCTCTGAGGACAGGTGTCAATCCATATGTCAAGGTGTCAATATGTCATATGTCAGGTGTCAATCCATATTCATTGTGATTTAGGAATGTTAGGTGATTTCTGCCCTTTATGGATTAAAACCAGACTCTGCATCAACTGTGTAATTTTCCATGGGAGTTTTGCCATGGATCCTCCTCCGGCATGCCACAGTCCAGGTGTTAGTCCCCTTGAAACAACTTTTCCATCCCTATTGTGGCCAGAAGAGTCCCTGTGTGTTTTAAAATTCGCCTCCCCATTGAAGTCAATGGCGTTTCGGGCGGTTCGCCGGTTCGCGAACATTTGCGGAAGTTCGCGTTCACCGTTCGCGAACCGAAAATTTCGGGTTCGCGACATCACTAGTGACTAGGGTTCATAAACAAAGGGATTTAACTCCTAAATGGCAGAGGATTGAGCAGTGAGGCTGCAGGGACATGTTCTATACACCAAAATTGCTTCATTAAGCTAAAGTTGTTCAGGTGACTATAGTGTCCTTTTAAGACTATAAAAGCTTTTTGTTTTAAAGAAAATGTACATGTTTTCTTGATGTAGATTCAGAGATGTGATTCCTTGTTAGACTGAAATGAGTCAGAACAAACAATGACTAGAAATCAATAGATCTTTTAAAAAGAATAAACCAGCACAAAGATCTTCTATCACATGAGAATGCATGATGTAATCTTAGATTTTAATGAACTTTATTTTGTGTATAGCTGCTTGATTATATAATTTTTTTCAATATATTTTATGCAGTTCTAATTTAATATACTTGCACTCTCCTGTGTGACTTTTATGATGTTATCTTAGTTTAAATATATAAAATACCAATACAGTTTCCTCAAAAGACTGTTTTAATACACTATTGAGTTTATAGAAAATACAGTAATTTATTACAGTAATTTATTACAGTGAATTCCTTGATTTGAGAATCAGGTTGCAAAATGTACACATGTTTTCCAACTGGTACACCCTATTAATTATTATTATTATTTATTTTTTTTAAACTGAAAAGAAAAAAAAAGTGTGTGTCCAAGTGTGCGCTCAAACTGTTCTAAATAAAAACATCAAAACAAATCGCGGAGCTTTCATGGGCAAGTCATGTTCCTTCTATAGATGTTTAGATGTATATTACTAGCCACCACAAGACCTTCGATATAAACTGATCCCTAAGTCAGCAATAATCATAGTTCCATATCCTTGGGAGTATGTACAGTATATAAAATTGGATGATTAATTTAGAAACAGTAGGCCCTGTGCCAACGTACTTCAATAAATAACACTGGCACTCTTTTTGACCATTATTTACCTGAACGCCTTATGTTTCAATTTGCTTTACATTGTTGCAGTGGCAACTTGACATTTAAATTGTTTCTAAAAATGGGACTGGCTAGAGCACCTGTCTGTCAAACTGACATGAATACACATCAGGGTAATACACCTCCAAATAAGTACCTCCCTTTCTCCAAGTCCTTCCAATTTGTAATCACTGTTTAGCTATGTACTTCTTCATAAAACATATGGTAAAAAAATTGGTTTGCCTCTTGGGGCATATGTAATCATTATTGTCAAACCTAACACTGCACAAAAAAAGAATTTGAAAGTGTTTCAAAGTAACATTTAGTAGCATTTCATTTGTATCTGCTGTATCTTTATTCACTTAAGCTGTGATATCTTCTAATGAAGTTTGGCAACATTCCTTCTCCTGATATATTATTTCTGGCAAAGTAAACATTTTGGGGTTTATTTACATTTTGTAGGAAGCATCCATAGAGGTGCAGTGAAAAAAAGGGTTTGCATAGAAGCAAACCTAAAATGGAGTTTAGAAATTGCAATGGGACAAACACGTGCAATGGGAAGGTGGGAGAGG